CTGAAATTCTGAAATTCTAAAATTCTCAAATTCTCAAATTTTGAAGTTCTAAAATTCTAAAATTGTTAAATTCTGAAATTCTGAAATTCTGAAATTCTGAAACTCTGAAATTCTGAAATTCTGAACTTCTGAAATTCTGAAATTCTAAAATTCTGAAATTCTGAAATTCTAAAATTCTGAAATTCTGAAATTCTGAGATTTTGAAGTTCTAAAATTTTGAAGTTCTGAAATTCTGAAATTTTGAAGTTCTAAAATTCTGAAATTCTAAAATTCTGAAATTCTGAAATTCTGAAATTCTAAATTTCTGAAATTCTGAAATTCTGAGATTTTGAAGTTCTAAAATTTTGAAGTTCTAAAATTCTAAAATTTTTAAATTCTGAAATTCTGAAACTCTGAAATTCTGAAATTCTGAAATTCTGAAATTCTGAAATTCTGAAATTCTGAAATTCTAAAACTCTGAAATTCTGAAATTCTGAAATTCTGAAATTCTGAAATTCTGAAACTCTGAAATTCTGAAATTCTGAAATTCTAAAATTCTGAAATTCTGAAATTCTGAGATTTTGAAGTTCTAAAATTCTGAAATTCTGAAATTCTGAAATTCTGAAATTCTGAAGTTCTGAAATTTTGAAGTTCTAAAATTCTGAAATTCTAAAATTCTAAAATTCTGAAATTCTGAGATTTTGAAGTTCTAAAATTCTGAAATTCTGAAATTCTAAAATTCTGAAGTTCTGAAATTTTGAAGTTCTAAAATTCTGAAATTCTGAAATTCTAAAATTCTGAAATTCTGAGATTTTGAAGTTCTAAAATTCTGAAATTCTGAAATTCTGAAATTCTGAAATTCTGAAGTTCTGAAATTCTGAAGTTCTAAAATTCTGAGATTTTGAAGTTCTAAAATTCTAAAATTCTAAAATTCTGAAATTCTGAAATTCTGAAGTTCTGAGATTTTGAAGTTCTAAAATTCTGAAATTCTGAAATTCTAAAATTCTGAAATTCTGAAATTCTGAGATTTTGAAGTTCTAAAATTCTGAAATTCTGAAATTCTGAAATTCTGAAACTCTGAAATTCTGAAATTCTGAAATTCTAAAATTCTGAAATTCTGAAATTCTAAAATTCTGAAATTCTGAAATTCTGAGATTTTGAAGTTCTAAAATTCTGAAATTCTGAAATTCTGAAATTCTGAAATTCTGAAATTCTGAAGTCCTGAGATTTTGAAGTTCTAAAATTCTGAAATTCTGAAATTCTCAAATTTTGAAGTTCTAAAATTCTAAAATTTTTAAATTCTGAAATTCTGAAACTCTGAAATTCTGAAATTCTGAGATTTTGAAGTTCTGAAATTCTGAAATTCTGAAATTCTGAAATTCTGAAATTCTAAAATTCTGAAATTCTCAAATTTTGAAGTTCTAAAATTCTAAAATTTTTAAATTCTGAAATTCTGAAACTCTGAAATTCTGAAATTCTGAAATTCTGAAATTCTGAAATTCTGAAATTCTGAAACTCTGAAATTCTGAAATTCTGAAATTCTAAAATTCTGAAATTCTGAAATTCTAAAATTCTGAAATTCTGAAATTCTGAGATTTTGAAGTTCTAAAATTCTGAAATTCTGAAATTCTCAAATTTTGAAGTTCTAAAATTCTAAAATTTTTAAATTCTGAAATTCTGAAATTCTGAAATTTTGAAGTTCTAAAATTCTGAAATTCTAAAATTCTGAAATTCTGAAATTCTGAAATTCTAAAATTCTGAAATTCTGAGATTCTGAGATTTTGAAGTTCTAAAATCTTGAAGTTCTAAAATTCTAAAATTTTTAAATTCTGAAATTCTGAAACTCTGAAATTCTGAAATTCTGAAATTCTGAAATTCTGAAATTCTGAAATTCTGAAATTCTGAAATTCTAAAACTCTGAAATTCTGAAATTCTGAAATTCTGAAATTCTGAAATTCTAAAATTCTGAAATTCTGAAATTCTAAAATTCTGAAATTCTGAAATTCTGAGATTTTGAAGTTCTAAAATTCTGAAATTCTGAAATTCTCAAATTTTGAAGTTCTAAAATTCTAAAATTTTTAAATTCTGAAATTCTGAAATTCTGAAATTCTGAAATTCTGAAATTCTGAAATTCTGAAATTCTGAAATTCTGAAATTCTGAAATTCTGAAATTCTGAAATTCTGAAGTTCTGAAATTTTGAAGTTCTAAAATTCTGAAATTCTAAAATTCTAAAATTCTGCAATTCTGAGATTTTGAAGTTCTAAAATTCTGAAATTCTGAAATTCTCAATTTTTGAAGCTCTAAAATTCTAAAATTTTTAAATTCTGAAATTCTGAAATTCTGAAATTTTGAAATTCTGAAATTCTGAAATTCTAAAATTCTGAAATTCTAAAATTCTAAAATTTTTAAATTCTGTAATTCTGAAATTCTGAAATTCTGAAATTCTAAAATTCTGAAATTCTGAAATTCTGAAATCCAAATATTCGCAGTTAATCGGTTAAATCTGAATAGGTGAAAAGGCGCGTGACATACATACAACAAAAAGATACGAAATAGATTCCAGCCCAATTTTCAAGCTCAACTTGTCTAGAACCCTGAGACATTTTTATATTTCAAATGTCTAAGATTTTTGCTAGTTTCCCCAAAAAAAAAATTGAAACTGTTTTTCTAGCTCGAGTTTCAGCCATTTAAAGATGACTATTCCGCCCGTTGTCTTTCCCGCTAAGCCCCGCCCCTTTTACACACAAAACATAGCGGGCGGCGGAACCCGGGAGGTGTCGGCCGCTTGTCTACCCTCCCTCTTATATACATTGCGTTTCCATAGCTCTTGTTCTTCCGAGAACATATACTAAAATTGGAACAATACAGAGAAGATTAGCATGGCCCCTGCGCAAGGATGACACGCAAATTCGTGAAGCGTTCCAAATTTTTTGACGAATTTCGTAGAAAAATGGTCGAATTTTTTGAAATTCAAAATTTGTGTGAAAGACTATTTTTTGAAGACTGTTTCAGAATTTCAAAAATTTTTTTTTGAGGGAATTCAAAGTTTTTGTGAAAATATCACAACGTTATTAACTGATAAAATATTTGTTCAGAATTTATGAACTTCAAAATTTCAACAATTCTGTATTATAAAACAATAAAATTCCGAACTTCAGAATTTCAAAGTCAATGAAGCTTTGAAGGATAATGGAAATGATGCGAAGAAGGTGTGCGAGAACTTTGGATGTGTTGTGAGAGTAAGCATTCATAGTGTTATTCAACTTTCAAACTGTAATGTCGTATTATAGGAACACAAAAGCGCTCGTCCCAACTATGAGCTCCGTAGCCAAACATCGATAGAGGCGCATGAAGAAAAGATGCAGGCAATCCAGGTACCATTTTGACTCAAATATCAAACAAAAACCATTCGTTGTCAGAAAAAGCTGAAAGAATGCTTTGACAAGGCAACAACTGCTGAGCTTAAGGAGGATCTTCTCAAGGAAGCTCGGGCATTCAACGAGAGGCCGTGAAGTATACCAAGGAGATCATCGTGGAAGCTTGTAAAAAAGGGAGAGAAGTGAGCACCTTTTCTGTTTTATCTAAAAAAATGTTACTTATTTTCAGCTTCATCACTAGTCACTGGAGCGGGGAACAACTCCATCAATGGCATCTCCAACGCCAAGAATGCGATTATCCGGGAAATTCAATTAAACATGACACAGTGTGGTATTATTTTATGTTTTGATTTTTTCGAATCGGTTGTACATATGCTTCTTCTTTTTTTTTTGTAAAATTCTTGCTCACTAAACTGCTCATACCAAATTTTTCTCGGTTCCTGAAAAAGAAACAAAAAAGTTGTCAACTAATAAATGGTTTATCATAATATCAGAAGTTTTTGATCAGTTGTCACATTATTGATATCCTGCAGAACAATTGAGATAAATGAGCTCAAGCAATTGTATTGATTTGCCTTTATTTTCGAATTTTCAAAAGGTACAGATCTGTGGCACGGATATCTTCACTATGATAACGTTAGAGGGCAACATTAGTCCTATAAAACTGGACAGGATTACGGTAGACATTTAGAATTACAATATCCATAGAAAAGAAGTTTGAAACCCTTTAAAATAATACAATCGACTTTTCAAAGAGTCTAAATAAAAATAGTGACAACCATCACAATCAGATACATAGAACAAGTCACTACAAAAGTAGCCAAATTTGTTGAATCGCTTTAAAAAACTCAGAGTCTACAAGTTAAATACAGGTCTTCATTTTTGTAATTGACATAAAGCCCTCTCAGAACAATATTACTGAAATCCCCCGCTATATTTGTAAGAAGGTAAACCAATTCTGCTGCCAATCCCCCCCCCCCTTGCGGGTATGGTGTAATATGGTGTAATTTTCCATCTTGTCACATGGCTCAACACTTGTCTAGAGGTAGGCACCACAACAAAATTTTCAAAATAGATTTTTCCCAGTTGTTATTGTTGGATTGTCTTTGTCTACTTTATAGAAGTCCATTGCCAAATTTTCAGCAAAAAATCTACATTCAATCCTGAGTTACAGACTCTTTTGTACCAGACCTCTATGTACTGACTTTCTCCTCATTTTTTTGCGGTGCGCAGAAAAGTGGGAGGGGTTTAGAAGCTTGCAATCCTGCGGCGCGGAAAATTCGTAAAGAAAATTAAAGAAAAAGCTATTAGACGCGAGAGAAACACGAACCTCCGCCTGCGTCAGATCGGCGAGCGCGCCCACTATCCAGTCGGCCACGGCTGCACTCTCGGTGGTGGCCTTAGAGGGGAAATATGAATGTGCGACTCTTCGTTGCCTGCTGCCTCCTTTCGGTGTTGCCCCCTTCTTGTTTTTTTCATGGATTGCACAGTGAAAGAGATGAAGTAACAGGCGTCTAACATTTTTCGGCCACATACGAGTTTTCTAGTTAAGATTGTATTTAGTGGCAAATTTTGCTTAGAATCTTATGGTAAAAAGAAATTTGGTGGAACTAATCTGTGTCATCCTCAAAACTTCCAAAAACTGGAAATTTTGAAAGTTTAGAATTTTCGGATGCGTATGAAAACTACTTAAAGGTAATCAATATTTCTGAAAATTGACACAGGTGTACAAAAGAATTAGTTTTACTATAATATGCAAAAATAATTTAAGGTCGTCGCTGAAATTTTTTGTTTATTTTGGCTGGAACTTTGGCTGAAAATCGAGTTTCACGGCCAAATACGAATTTTGAGTTTTTTTCAAAATCCAATCTCCCATTTCATAAACTACCAGAATCCATCAAAAATTTGATGGCACAAACTTTCATGTAACACTTTTAATCCACTTTGTCGGCTCGGTTCCTATTTTTCGAAGTTTTCCAATCAAAATAATAAAATTATCGGAAAACTGATAATTCCATTCAATTTTTCGTAGTCGATTACATAGGGACAAATTCTAACTTCAAAAATAATGAGTTTCTAACGCCCGGTACAAGACTTCAGAGATGGACTTGTGCCGAGTGGAGAAAAATTTGGTCGCTCCGCTCCCTTTCATTGCGGCGCCTATCTAGAGGTTATAACCTTTATGAGCCTTCCCAACCAAGGTCATTATGACGTATTGTTATTAATAGATTGAAAGATGAGAGAAGTGAGCGTATGGTATGGTGGATGGACAACCACACACACACATACACGGCATGACTCAGCAGGTGGTGAAAGTGAGATAGTGTGAACATAGAGGAGACTAAAAGACGCAGGCAATGGGACGATCGAGTCGACCTTATGCGTTCGACGCACCTTCATTCTTTCTATAGACGACTTGACAGAATAGACGTCTCACCTTTTTTGGGAGTTTTAAATTCCCTTTTGATTTTTCTAAGTATTCTCTAATTGTATACTATTCTACTCACATCTCTACGGGTTCTTATAAAGGTGAGATTTTTTTTGAATTATTGAAATCATTCACGAATTTTCTTCATTTGGAGCTTATTTTCTGTTTGGTCCAAAACCGTTCCAAAATCACTGTGCATCAAAATTTTGAACGTCTTCTTTTTGAATTAATTAATTTACTTCATCGAAGGGTAAACACCACTAACACTTGAAAACTGTTCAATTTGTGAAATAAATAGGAGTAGAGTTAATTAGAGAGGACGAGGCAAAAATAAAGTTAGTAGTTGTGAGGTTTAAGTACAAGGAAATAAAGTCGCAGTTCGATATTCCGTTTTTGAAAGCCACCGTGGAAGGCTTGACCGGGAACACATCCACAGGGAGAGAATTCCAACAACGTAGGACACTATTCGCGAGCATTTGAGATAATTGTTTAGTGGTGTTTTTCACTTTAGATCGGAGATAATAACTATGACGTCTTAAAGATGTTGTATAGCTGACAGTCTCGAATATAGGTTTCTCCATTTTTACCTCTTTAGTAACGAAATTCAAAGTTTTCGTGAAAATATCAAAACGTATTAACTGATAAAATATTTGTTCAGAATTTATGAACTTCAAAATTTCAGATTTCCAAAAATTTGGAATTGTAGAACAATAAAATTCCGAATTTCAGAATTTTGTAGTTTTAGAATTTAAAAGTTTCGAACTTTCCGACTTTAGAAATATCAGAATTTAAAAGTTTCAAACTCATAATTTCAGACTTTCAAAATTTCAGAAATTCAGATTTTCGGGTTTTCAGAATTCAAGAATTTTAGAATTCCAGATTTTCAAAATATCAGAATTTGAAAGTTTCACATTTTTCAGGTTACCTTGGCCGTCAATGAAGCTTCGAAAAATAATGGAAATGATGCGAAGAAGGTGTGCGAGAACTTTGGATGTGTTGTGAGAGTAAGCATTCATAGTGTTATTCAACTTTCAAACTGTAATGTCGAATTACAGGAACACAAAAACGCTAGTCCCAACTATGAGCTCCGTAGCCAAGCATCGATAGAGGCGCATGAAGAGAAGATGCAGGCGATCCAGGTACCGTTTTGGATCAATTATCAAGACAAACCCATACATTTTCAGAGAAAGATAAAAGGATGCTTCGACATTCTCCACTCCTCGAAGTACCAATCTTCTTTACTGAGGAACTGGCAAAACTGAGGCGTGTGGATACGGATGCTTCCCCAAGGACGTTGGCCGAAGCATTGGAGGCGATCTTCAGACCAGAGGATGCCGAAGAAGTTGATGAGTTGGCAATGATGCTGGAGGAACTCGTTTGGCCGCAAGAGGAATCAACCAATGATGGAGGATATCGATGCAGAAGCTGGTCATTGGAGGTTCCAAATGGAAGGTGTTGGTGAGTTGCTTAACTTTTTTATAATCAAAATTCATATCTCAAATTGCAGAGCTCAAACTCCATCTCTTTGATCTATTTGGATCTCAGGAGTTGCCGCAGAAAGTGAGAAAGGTCTCCAACGGCAAGGATCTTTTCGTGTTCAATGAGGAGGCAAGAAGGAACAATTTATTTTGAAAACTTCAATTTATTCTGAAAATAAAATTATTTTTTATAATGTTTTTTGTCGGAGTTTTAAATTAGGAGAGTTTTAATATGACTTTGTAGGATTCTCATCCGGTTTCATCCAAAAATTTCAGCAATTTTCCAGAAGGAACTTTTGAAAACGTTATTCTTAGGCATACCTTTTTTGTATGGCCCCCTTTTGTCTTGCTGTTAAAAGGGAAACTGAGAAACATGACCGTATCATGTGGTGCACAGCCACACACTCATACGCATCATGACTCAACAGATGGCGAAGCATATAGAGTGGGAAAAATATACGAGACCCAGAGACACAGGCCATTGGAAAAAAAAGGTCGTCGACTCTATGCGTTCGACGCGCCTAGCTTCATTCTTTCCTGAGACGACTTGACAGAATAGACGTCTATTTTGAGGGCTCTCCAGAAAATCCCCTGAATGAATGGATTTTGGAGAACTCCTTTTTGATTTTTCTGAATATATTCTGATATTCTATTGAAATCAGTCCGGTTTTTTTGATAATGGTGAGATATTTTTTTAAATAGTTGATTTGAAATTGAAGAAGAAATGATGCAATTCCGATATTTTCCGAAACTGGTGAAATTTCGATTTTTTAAAAGTTCTGAAATTGTGAAATTCTAAATTACTAAAATTCTAGAATTCTAAAATTCTAAAATTCTGAAATTTTGAAAATCTGATATTCTGAAATTCAGAATATCTAAAAATTCTGAAACTTTTTTAAATGATTCCTAAATTTTAAAACTCTATAATTTTGAACAAATATTTTATTAGTGAATCATTTTTTCGATATCTTGAACGGGAATCTCAAATTCTCTCAAAAACGGAAAATGGAAAAATCGAAAACAGAAATCAAATTTTAATTTTTTTTACGTTTTGGTGTCAAGGTGAGAAATACAAAATTTCAGAAATTCAAAATGAGAAATTCGGAAATTCAGAATTTCAGAATTTCAAAAATTCGAAAAACTCAGAAACTCAGTTTTTCAAAATTGTGTGTCTGATTAGTGTCTACGCATAAATTTCTATGTTTTTCAAAGACTTTTTTTTGAATTTTGTAGAAAGTCTTCCAAATATAAATTGTTTTCATTGCATTTTTAATCTTGTGATGTAATGCCAATTTAGACAGTATTTTCCAAATTTCTGCTTTTTTAGAATCTCTTGTTCATCATGCCGCTCACTAAGTACAACAAACAATAGCAGCAAAGAAAGGTTGGAGCTGTGAAGAAAGCCAGTGGTATTCAAGACACCTTGACCATAAATGAGGCTTTGGAGGATAATGGAAATGCTGCGAAGAAGGTGTGCGAGAACTTTGGATGTGTTGTGAGAGTAAGCATTCATAGTGTTATTCAACTTTCAAACTGTAATGTCGTATTACAGGAACACAAAAACGCTAGTCCCAACTATGAGCTCCGCAGCCAAGCATCAATAGAGGCGCATGAAGAGAAGATGCAGGCGATCCAGGTAGCACTTCAATTTGAATATCAAACAAATACAATTCATTTTTAGAAAAAGCTGACAGGATTCTTCGACAAGGCAACAACTGCTGAGCTTGGGAAGGATCTTCTAAAAGAAGCTCAGGCATTCAACCAGAAGAGAAACCAGCACAATAAATTCGACTTGTAAAAAAAGTGAAAGAAGTGAGCGCCTTTTTTGTGTTATCTAAAAATTTTACCTTTTTTCAGATGTATCCCTAGTGACTGGAGCAGGGAACAACTCTTCCAGTGACATCTCCAACACAGAGAATGCCATTATGCGGGATATCCGATTCAACATGACACAGTGTCGTGTGACCGAGGAGCCTTTTTATGAAGTATGATCATTGTCGAATTTTGGAGCTTTTATTTTAAGTATCATTTTTCTTACTAGTAAACTATTTGATAACAAGCCTCCTCTCCCAACTCGTGTCAGTTCCACGTGGCCTCATGCTTGAGTTTTCCGAAAAAGTTTTCAATTACAAAAGCTTCAGTTTTTTTTATTATATAACAAAGTTTTCAAAATGAATATACAACATTTTTAGAAGACTTTTATTGTAGGGACTTTCAGTTTGAAGAATCTCGGACGCATGAATTTCCCTCAGTTCGAAAGTTTTTTTAAAGAGTTCTTTTAGGAAAAAATAACAAAATGTATTCTTTAAAGGTCGGCGTATTGGACATTCAGCATATGTTTTTTTTAATCCTGCTTTTTTGCATCTACTTTCTCTCTATTTTTAACTTGTCTCACATCTGCCACCCCTTTTTATATACTATAATCTTTTTGTCGTACCACACCGTAGTTTTGGTCACTCCATGATTCATCCAGAAGGAGACCCCTCGATAGACAGTCTTCAATAGGAAGCAAATAAAATATTTTTCAATATATGACGGAAAGAGTTGCGATTTGATTTTCAGAAGAGAAATTCAGAAATTTGAAAATCGGAATGCGATTTTTTAATTTTTGCACACTGCGTTTTCATTCTGTTTTGTTTCTAAATAATTTATTTTTAAATAAAATGAACTAAACCATTCCTTAATTTCGAAATTGTTGGTTTTTTTTAAATTTTATGATTTTTAGAAGAGAAATTCAGAAATTTGCAAATTGGAATGCGATTTTTTAATTTTTGCACACTGCGTTTTCATTCTGTCCCGTTTTCAAATAAATGATTCTTAAATAAAATGAACTAAACCATTCCTTAATTTCGAAATTGTTGGTTTTTTTTTAATTTTATGATTTTTAGAAGAGAAATTCAGAAATTTGTAAATTGGAATGCGATTTTTTAATTTTTGAACACTGCGTTTTCATTCTGTTTCGTTTCCAAATAATTTATTTTTAAATAAAATGAACTAAACCATTCCTTAATTTCGAAATTATTGGTTTTTTTTTAATTTTATGATTTTTAGAAGAGAAATTCAGAAATTTGAAAATTGGAATGCGATTTTTTAATTTTTGAACACTGCGTTTTCATTCTGTCCCGTTTTCAAATAAATGATTTTCAAATAAAATGAACTAAACCATTCCTTAATTTCGAAATTATTGGTTTTTTTTTAATTTTATGATTTTTAGAAGAGAAATTCAGAAATTTGAAAATCGGAATGCGATTTTTTAATTTTTGCACACTGCGTTTTCATTCTGTCCCGTTTTCAAATAAATGATTCTTAAATAAAATGAACTAAACCATTCCTTAATTTCGAAATTATTGGTTTTTTTTTTAATTTTATGATTTTTAGAAGAGAAATTCAGAAATTTGAAAATCGGAATGCGATTTTTTAATTTTTGCACACTGCGTTTTCATTCTGTTTTGTTTCCAAATATGTTATTTTTGATTAAAATGAACTAAACCATTCCTTAATTTCGAAATTGTTGGTTTTTTTTTTAATTTTATGATTTTTAGAAGAGAAATTCAGAAATTTGAAAATTGGAATGCGATTTTTTAATTTTGAACACTGCGTTTTTATTCTGTCCCGTTTTCAAATAAATGATTCTTAAATAAAATGAACTAAACCATTCCTTAATTTCGAAATTATTGGTTTTTTTTTAATTTTATGATTTTTAGAAGAGAAATTCAGAAATTTGAAAATTGGAATGCGATTTTTTAATTTTTGAACACTGCGTTTTCATTCTGTTTCGTTTCCAAATAATTTATTTTTAAATAAAATGAACTAAACCATTCCTTAATTTCGAAATTATTGGTTTTTTTTTAATTTTATGATTTTTAGAAGAGAAATTCAGAAATTTGAAAATTGGAATGCGATTTTTTAATTTTTGAACACTGCGTTTTCATTCTGTCCCGTTTTCAAATAAATGATTTTCAAATAAAATGAACTAAACCATTCCTTAATTTCGAAATTATTGGTTTTTTTTTAATTTTATGATTTTTAGAAGAGAAATTCAGAAATTTGAAAATCGGAATGCGATTTTTTAATTTTTGCACACTGCGTTTTCATTCTGTCCCGTTTTCAAATAAATGATTCTTAAATAAAATGAACTAAACCATTCCTTAATTTCGAAATTATTGGTTTTTTTTTTAATTTTATGATTTTTAGAA